AAACACCATAAGGCTCTTTGGCCCTGGTCCCGAGGCAGTCGCCGTCGACATATTCTCAGATTGTATGGCCGGCGGTCTGCTTTATTTCGATCTGCGCTAGGAAGACGTCTATCTTGCCACTCGGCGGTGTACTTTTTCACCGGAGAAACCCTATCCTCCGACCTCTACCCCTCTCTCTGCCCTTGATGGCTTTATTTGAAACTTTGGCTCTGCTCCGTTCTACGTCTGCTGCATCCCCCTCTCTTATTTCGAGATGATGGAGAGTTCTCAGGCGAGGCCATCTCCTCCACCTAAGCCGCCTGACCCGCCAGATCTAACCCATGCACCGTCGTGCTCGCTCAGCCTTTTCATCTTCCACCACCGGCTAGCTCAGTCGGCATCCTCCCTAGATCTTAACTATACCGGATCTAGGTGGGGTTCACGGTGCTCTAATGTCGATGGCGGTTTTTCAAGCCACCACTTGTCTTAACGGTGGAGAGATTACCTTAATGTCAAATTAGTCTTTGGCTTCAATCCTTGCTCCACCAATTGCAACAACCTCTCCTTTGTCGAGATTCGACTTGCCTCTGACTCCCGCTTCTCGTTCACCCTTCCCGTCGTGGTTCCTTTTCACCAACAAGTCATCACGGCGGCAACTCCAACTTCTCCCGAGAGGCCGAAAACCCTACATCCCTCTCAACACTATTAAATTATGGGCCTGGCCCAGTCTTCAATATGGGCCTCATAGCTCAATAAATCTGCCTAGCCCATCAAYTCTCAARATTCTTCAATTATGGGCTTGACCTAGTTCGGGACATGGGCCTCCTAACCCATCAAATCTGCCTTTCAAGGTCTTGTTGAGACCCATTTGGAGTATTGCACTCACTAATCCTGGTCCAGCCCACATAGTGTCAAAAATCCGATTTGCAAAAATCTCACATGCTTTTGAGCTCATTGGCTTCTCTTCTTTGAGAAACCCAAAGTTTTCTGGATTCTTAAATCATGTAATTTACTCCCGGTTCCATCTCTTTGAGAGTGGTCGAATTTCCGAGCTTTAGGCCAGGATCTTCAAAGTCACATTAGAAAGTGACCAACCAGACTCTATGGCTTTACCGCGAAAACCCTCTTGACGCATCTGAGGCATGCTTTGGATGCGCTGTCCATCTTCTGCATTCCCTCCATTTGTATTTTAATCGGTTAAAAGAATGAAGTAAGTTTGGTTGAAAAAAAAATATATATATATATACACAAACACAGTTTATATGGTGCGCACATTCGTTAAGAAATCCACCGTCGTATTTTTGTCATTCGTTAATAAAGTTCGGGTAGGACTCGCGTAGATTGTCAATTCTTGTGTCCCACTCTTTTTAGTTATTTCAAAATACTAATTTGACATTGTTATAAACGGATATTGGCACTTGCTAGAGAAAAGGAAGATATTACGTCTCCACATATTCAAAATAGACATATAGGACGGGTAGGGTCCACGTTATTGGATTATGTTTGCATAATTTATTAATAATATTCTTTAAAATTATAGAGTGCTCACAACCAACGTAACACTAAAGTTACTGCTTTGAAACTGTAGAAGAACTAGGGTTTCACAAAGAATATCATGTAATGAATTAGATGAATATATACTGTATGTTGATTTAAAGTTATATTTTATTAATATTATTTAATATATTATTTAATATATTATTTATTTTAATTCAATTATAACATATATTTCTAAATAAAATCCTATTTAAATTAGGTTTACTTTTTATGACAAATAAATATATCATTATGTTAAATACATTAATCTTTTGACATGTAGCTAAAACTAATTGAAAGGAATTATTTTATCGATTGACTTACACATGCTCAGTAAGATTAATTACAAAGTAGACAAATCGAACATTGCAAAATAAGATACTTATACTTTTTTCTACTTTATAATCCATCCACAAAAACGAAACAAAAAAGGTGAGAAAGT